GAGAGAGAGAGAGAGATTCAGAACATAGTCACAACATCATAGTCTGGAAGCCAAGCATAATAACATCATTGTCTGGAAGCCCAATTGCTATGAAGAAGGAAAAAACAAGCTTGGAAGCACTATTACTTAAAACTAAGTCCCGTATTGGAAAGAAGCAACCTAATGCATGAAATAAATTGCATGATCAACCACAATGTCAAATGATAACATAGACTATCAATTCCGGTGATCAATAGGAATTTTTTTGGTCAACTGATGCTAACATTTTGCAATATAAATTCTTTGCAAACAGCCAGCTAGCATCACAGCTAACAGTAAAATCTTAGAATTAAGGAGTGTTGTGAAAGGAGTGAGTAATCATATAACAATTGGCTCATTTCACTTAGTAATTGGCAAAGTGCCTAAAGTCTTGCAAACCATGTGAGCTGAAGTGAAACCCAGATAATGGTCTACAACCTTAAACAAGATCATCCAACACTAAAAATAGCTGCCTCACTCACGTGCCTCTTCACCTTTCTATGGAAATGATACATTGCACAAATAGAGATCTCACACGACATTGTCAACGCACTGAAAAATTTACATGAAATCCTTGGAAATATGATCATCAGCAACATATTAAAGAATATTATATTCTAATAACGATGCCAGCCTACGTGCTCTTGTTCTAACTCTTGGCATGAACCACACTCTAGATGATCCCCAATTATGAATGATGGATAGACACTAGACCTAAGGATAAACTAAATAAATAGCAACAGTACATTTACAATTCATCGCATGATATACTTTTAATCTTCTTGCTAGTGAAAACCTTGTCTAATGATAAAAAATATTGAGTATTAAGCATCTAAGAATAGAAATCACCACATAATTCTGAAGCATATAATTACAAGTATGTAAGCATCAATCTGATAATTATTATTACTCATTCCATGTAAATAAGCATCATTCTAGAACTCAGGCTGCAGCTTGCATCGTCCAAGTTGGTAATGATTGCAAGATCACATCCCTGTTTCAAACAAATCCTACTACTGATCTACACAAAAGGCAATAAAAAAAGTAAAGGGATTGCACGCAAAGATACCATTACCTTTTATACACAAAGTCCAAAGAACTTTCTTGGACTTTTAGTGCAGTCAATGGCACACCCTCCATTCCCCAATTTCACATGTAGTAGCTAGAGGTGATTTTGATCTTTTTGTACCAAAGGTAAACAGCCTTATTGTAGAGTTTCCTCAACAAACATAAAAAGCATCATTCTCATAATTATTCCTTACACAAGTATAACATAAACAAATGGCTCTCAATTCCCAAGTCAATGGTAGTATTCATGGAAAATTTATCATTACACAGAGATAATGGCAATCCAAGACCCTAATTCTGGTTTTCGACCTTTATTAGGTACTCTAAGAAAAGTACGCATCTAACTTCCATAGAACAATTACCAATCAAACAAAAAATCAAAGACACTTCCATAGGACTGAATTTCCCCAAAGACGAACAAAAAAAAGAAAAGAGAAGGAGAAGAAAAATTCAATAGAAGCATACAAGAACGAAGAAAACAAATTCCGCATTGGCACATTTGAAGGCCGCTTATCCGCCATCTTAGATACAATGAAATCAATACACAACTATAATAACATAAATTGAAGAAACCCCATTATCAATTCCTCGCACTTTTTACCATAATGAAAAGTCGATACAAATGGAGGAAGAGCTCGCACCTGGAACAACGAGAAACCACTGAATTGGCAATGGCCGATAGCTGAGGGATGGGATTTTCAAGAGGTTTATCACAATCTGATATTTTGGGTTTCTTTCCGGCTCCAAATATTGATTTGATGGAGTTGTGCTTTCTCATAGTCGCCGTTAACCCTTTCCTCATTGCGCCCAAAAATTGCAGAGAAAATGCCGTACCCCTTTTTTTTGTTGTTCTCTCGAGTTTCAGACAAGCGTCTGAGCGCTTCTCATATATACGTGGCGCTGACGTGGCGCCCCGCGCTCCAATCCAGTTTTCCATTTCAAAATTCAAAGTCTCGTTATAAAAATGCACGAACACGCTCCCGCGAGAACCGGTAACCAATGCGATTCAATATTTGTGATTTTGAACGGTCAGTGCTTTCTAAGATTAAGCGTTTACCAGCTCATTTTCTTTCTCGCCAAAAATAGTTGTATAGTAATGGTAAAATGGATCTCAAATTTTCGTATCAAGGAAAATCTTTGAAAGTCTTTGTTTTAAGAAGCGTATGATATCAGTGTCATCATTATCGAGCCAGTAAGAGGTTTGGTCTAGTAAAATCTAATTAATCGATCAAATTTGATCGGATTTTAAAAAAAATAAAAAAATAAATATAACTGTTTAAAACATATAATATATTAAAATAGGTTAAAACGAACTGTCCAAAATTGATTGAACATTGACTTTTATTAATTTTTTAACAAACCTAAATTTTATCTTGGATCAAATTAAACACGGTAATTAGTCTGTAGTCCAACCGGTCAGACCACCAGTTCGGTCTCATCTTGATAACCATATATAATTTGCTCCCCAAGGTATGCCATATGTACCCATCAAATTTTAGAATAAGAAGAATCCCTATGGGAGCAAATTCCCTATGGACCATATTATATTGTTCCAGCATAATACCTACTTCAGGAAATTTTTCTTAAGCCTAAATTTTGGGATCCAAACATCAAATGAGTATTTTTGAAGAGAAGACAAAAATATTATGAGGTCCCATACTTTATTCACCCAAACAAAGGAGGTCCCATACTTTGAATTGACCATTCAAAAGTTAGGCCACTTTTATTTTTCTCTTAAGATCTGGTTTTGATCGGACCAAACTAGTTTGAGGCCTCGTTCGTAGTTCAACAGGTTTGATTGATAAATTTTGGTTTAGATGTCACTAAGCGAAGCATCTCAACTTGATCCTATTTAAAGGGGGATTGCATACAATGAGACCATTTACCTTTGACAAAAGAAAGTCAGAATTATTTGTAATGATGTGAGATCTGATAATTAGGGAGTGTCGCAAAATTCGATAAATTTTATTTTGAAGTTTGTATTTGGTTAATGAAATAATGCAATCATCCAATTACATATGCAATGGTCAAGATTAACTGTGACCATCTTGTACTAAAGGTAAATCATGTCATTGTATACTTTTCCATGAAGGGAGTGCATAAATATGTAAACCTACATATTCTCCCAAAACAAATCTTATTTTTTGATATAAGTACGACATGCTAAGAGTGCAGTATTTCAACATTTGGCATCGAAGGAAACCCACCAATTTTCTGACTATTAGTGTATTCAAAAAAGCACTGTGTTAATCCATCATAAATAAAGTAGTTAGGTTTGTATGTCTATCACCACCAAATGCAATTTCAGATTATGTCCATGCTATTTCATAGACTTATAGGATCTAGAATAAGTTTATTTCTTGATCCCCAAAAGGTTTCCTATTCCCTCGGGAGTATGCTATCTATTTATTCCCTCGGGTAAAACACGTACTAGAGTACTTTTTAGATCTCCAAATTTGGGGATGTAATCTCTACAACCCATAGACTAACCACACTGAAAAAAAAAATCTGAAATCAACTCTATGCATAAGAAAAAAACTAATGCCTCAATAATGAATAGTGACTGTCCAATTTTAAACTAATGCCTCAATAATGAATAGTGACTATCCAAATTTTTTAAGGGCTAGATCTAAGTGTTACAAAGAGCAAAATTCATTTTTTTGTTCTTTTTAAAACAATAATCTAGTAATTCTCATGCAGTTCTCCAAATGTTAAACCAAAAAAATCTTCATATAGGTGTCTTGAGCGAGCGAATAGATATACAATGTGCCCCTATGGCAGCACAATATATTTGCTCTTGATTACCAAGGTTTTATGTCGAATGATTCCTTATATAGACTTCTAAACAATCAGAATTCTTTTTTTTTGTATCAGACCCGCCCTAAAGGTTGAACTATTAACATTTCACTATGAATATGATTTGATAAAGGAAAACAGTTTGATAGGGATGCAGCCCTATCAAAATAAGTAAAATCTCCACATTATAATTCATCAAAACTTGCAACTGAAGTATTAAAAACCTTTATAACGATCATCATGGCTTGAACATTTATGTAGTTAAAAGAAAAATTATTTCTAGCTCTAAAAATGGCATGTATTATAACAAATTATCTAGACTATTTATTTGGCCCCAAGAGTAAGTGTTTATAGATCCACAAGATCTGCATTATTTTTTGAGTTTCGAATTTCATTGTCAGCAGTAAAAATTGATTTTAAAGTCATCATAGAGATTTTTGTTGCCTAAATGCTTTGCTTAGAATATTTGATGTGAGGCTTGTTTTCTTTTTCATAAAGCCTAGGCCTTGTAAAAATATTGTCCTTCCATAAATTCCAAAATCCCATAAAGACGTGTTGTTTGATGGGCAATTTGAATTTTGATTGGAACAATATATGGTGGGCTTAGGAAAAGAGACCGGGCTAAATTGGTTAGCACTTGATGATATGCAGTGCTACCTCTTAGGCTCAATTCCTACCAAATGTGGGAGCTCTCTCCCCACCAACTCATCCAAAAAATGAAAAAGGTGAATTCTATAAAAAAAATAGCATGGCTTAATTGTTTTGTACTTGACCATTTGTAACGATGCTACGTCATCTACGTCTTAGGCTCAATTCCTACCAAATGTGGGAGCTCTCTCCTCATCGATTAGGCTCAATTTCTACAAACTGTGGGAGCTCTCTCCCCACCGACTCATCCAAAAAATGAAAAGGTGAATTCTATAAAGAAAATAGCATGGCTTAATTGTTTTGCACTTGACCATTTGTAACGACGCTACATCATCTACGTTTTAGGCTCAATTCCTACCAAATGTGGGAGCTCTCTCCCCACCGACTCATCCAAAAAATAAAAAGGTGAATTCTATAAAGAAAATAGCATGGCTTAATTGTTTTGCACTTGACGATTTGTAACGACGCTACGTCATCTACGTCTTAGGCTCAATTCCTATTACAAGTGGGGGACCCTCTCCCCACTTACTCACTCAAAAAATATATGTTGGGCTTATTCAAAAATAAGATAAAAAAAGAAGGAAAAATTTCATACAGACCCCCTAATTCCCTATATTATTTCACTGTAGACCCTATTTCTATTTTTCTTTCAAGCGGAATAAAAAAACCCTCGAGTATTTCACTGTACCCTCTCATCTCTTTTTTTCCACGTTTATTCACTTTTGGCCACAAAAACTAGCTCCAACAAATTGTTTTATTCCATCTCAATCCAAAAACCTTTTTAACCCTATTTTATACTTTAAGTAGCTAAGTGATTGAGATGGAAGAAAACAATTTGTTAGGGCTAGTTTTTGTGGCCAAAAGTCAATAAACGTGGGAGAGAAGAGATGAAGGGGTACGGTGAAATACTGAAAAGTTTTTTTATGCCCCATGAAAGAAAAATTGAAAGAGGGTCTACCGTGAAATAAGATGGGGAATTAGGGATCTGTACGAAATTTTTTTTTAAAAAAAATGGTTCAATTCCTATTACAGGTGGGGCCCTCTCCCCGCTTACTCACTCAAAAAATATATGTTGAGCTTATTCGGAAATAAAAAAAAAAAAATGGTTTGACTGGGTTGCAGCACTAACAAAATAAATACTGCTTCATCTCATACCTCATCGAAAATTATAATTCAAGTATTGGAAAACCTTTACAACGATTGAACATTATGGTTGTAAGAAAAACATAGGATATCAAGTTCAAAAAATAGTATAATTATAACAAATTATCTAGACTGTCCATTCGCCCTAAAAATAAGTGTTCATCGATCTGCAAGATCTGTATCTTTTTTTGAGTTCCAAAATTTATTGTCAGTGTTGAAAATTGATTTTAGAGCCATAATGGAAATTTACATTGCCGAAAGTATTTACATTGCCGAGAGTGTTTTATTGAGGATTTGAGTTGAGGCTTTGTTTTGTTTTCATAAAACCTAGGCCTTATATAAACCTCATCCTACACCCTTCCAGCTTTTGCACCAATTAAGTCAATTCTCTATACAAGCACATGCGCTCGTTCTTTAATTTCCCACTCATATGCTGTTTTTTAGCTTAGATCACCGTTTCAACGGTTCATATTAGGGTTGGTTTATACAAGTGAAGAAGGCTTTGAATCTTCTTCACTCCTGTTAAATAACTACTCTTATGTATTCTCTTCCAAATGGGTCAAGTTCAGAGCGATATCTCGAGTGAAGAAGACCGACTCAACCAAACAAAGAACGTTCAAACCCAAGAAAACCAGCCCTCCTCCATGGAGGCTTTAATTGCAGGTTACCCATTTTCCATTATTTCATTTTCCTCATATATTTGGGTTCCATTATTTCATTTTCTTCATATATCTGGGTTCTCTGTGCATTATGGATTACGAGTCCTTTTTTTTTTTTTCTATTTTTGATGAATTTGTAGATGTTTTAAGTCTGTACAGTTTCATTTTCTTTGCGACCTAGGGATTAGTTGTCCCCTTTCATTTGTTTATATTAATGAATTTTTATGTTCACTTCAAAACAAAAAATCGGTTGAGTATCAATTTTTTTTTTTTTGAGAAATGTTGACTTATATGTTGAGTATCAATTCAAATTCTAAAAATTACTATGTGTAGTGAATCATGATTGATAATATACTTTTGCTGGGCAGTTAACCTTTTAAAATAAATAAAATAAAATAAATTAGTGCAATTCTATGAACAATTGTCACTCAACACCCCAATCCAGGAACTTGACTTGGGTAGATCCTATGCGTTGAAAACAGTAGTTGAAAACTCTGGCCTGTCCACTTGGACTGGAGCTCGGCACCCTGCTGAGCCCGAAGTGGTGCATATGGGAACCAAGCGAGTCTGGCCGGTTCCCATTGTTTTATTATTTTTATGGACAGACTCGGCGGAGTCTGTCAGACACAACTCGTACTCGGGGCTCTTCTGAATTTTGACATGAGTTCATGTTTTCTAGTACTTGTTGATAATATACTCTCATTCTTCTTGTTTATGTGAAAAGCTATTTCTTTATGGACCTGGTTAAATTGACATGGCCTTTATTCCTAATTAAGCTGGTTTGAGCTGGAATAACTGTTGACTGCTAATGATTTTGCACCTCAAATCCACATATTTGATGATGGGCTTGATAAAACTGAGGATTGGTCTGCCCTGTGAAATGAAAAGGAGGTCAGGGGTGTAAGATGGTGTTTGGTTTTGATTCTTATAGAAATTGAGCTCGTTTATGTACTATGTATGGACCCTGTAATTTGTGTCAGATACTTGTTCTTGAAGATATTCTACGTGACTAAAACTATTTTCATTAAGAAATAAGAAATTTTCATTGGAGAGCTCGGATTTTTTCACAAAACAACTGCTCAATTATAATAGGGAGCTCAATTTTAATAGGGACTTGCTGAAAACCATGTTAAAAAAAAAAAAGGGACTTGCTGAAAGCAATTAAAGAATATAGCTCTCCCAAACCCCAACCTACCCCTGCCACTGCCCCCTCCCCCCCCTTCCCCCCACAAAAGAAAAAAACCAATAAAATGCATATATATATGTGTGTGTGTGTGTGTGTGTTTGTGCGCACGCATGTGTGAACCTTAGTGCCATAATGCTTCAGGGAAAAATTTGGATAAAAGTTGGGTCGGTCCCTATACTTTGCTACATGTGAGTAGGATATATTATCATTGAGGAATTTTGTACGAATATTATGGTATTACTTTTCTTATTGGAGAAGTACTGGGACTTTTAATGTATGTAATCAATATAATTGTGGTATTTATTATGGAATCAATTTTTATTAAGATTAGTAAATATAAATTAATTTTTTTATCAATACTAAAGTTGACGATAATTTCTAATTTATATCAAAATTAGAAGGAAAATTATACAATGAGACCATTTATTTTTAGTATAAGGAGATCACAATCACTCTTGTCCTTGAGATTTTAAATCGGGCAGTTGTAAGTGTGTCCTTGACTACACTCAAAGTTAAAAATAAAAATAAAATCTTGAACTTCATGACACACCCCAAGCCATCCAATTTGACACCTCCTTGTAATAATGGTAAATGGTCTCATAGTATACAATCCCAAATCAAAATATAAAAAATATCTATCCAAATTTAATACTTTAATCTTCATATCCATTATCAATTTGCTTCTCATTTGCCTTATTGACATTTTAGAGCGGTTTTTAGGTAGGTGATTTTTTTTGTTCCCTTCATATTCAAAGTACTAATTTGCTTTCAGATTACATACATGTTTTTCTCTTTCTATAAATTCTGGGATACTATTAGAGACATTATTAGTGTTAAAGTTTATCTTGATAAATACAGATAAAATGAATTTATTGGAGATAACTGTCACTAAGATTCATAGATGAAATAAAGCACGGCAGTTCTTTTCTCAAGGCAATTTGCTCCAAAGCCTCCATGATGTGTCTGCAGTACCGATCTGGTGGTCTTGAAGGCTCTGTCTGAGAGTCCGTGACATGAGCTTCTGTCAATTGCTTTTGATGGGTTGATATTTCTTCATATGAGACTCTCTCTATTTGAGCTAATTTGATGCTTGCACTAGTTTCACTTCAACTATTTGATGAATTCAAACAAAGAAGAAGGGAACATTGACTGTTTTTTTTTTTTTGAGAATATTAACATTGACTGTTAGGATGGGTTATTCCAGATCATGTTTTCAAGAATGTGTCTTTGTGCTCTTTGATATTAAGAGTTGCATTGTTCTTAGTTTGTAGTGCTGCTTGAGTTTAGAGATTGGAGGAGTTCTTTGTGGAATGCATGCTTCAACCATTAAACTGTGTTGACATATTCATTGTATGAGATCTATGAATGGTTTTGTGATTTCAGTTTGTTCTTCTGTTTTCTTATAATCACTCTAATCTTATATGTGTTACATGCAACAGAGGCCACTGCTTTCGGTGATGATGAGAATGAGGTTGGTACCGCTTGAGGGCTTAGTAAGTTTAATACATGAAATTACATTGCTTTTGCATTATCAAAAATGGAATTACGTTTTTGGGTAGTTTGGTTTTGAAATCCACTGCCATCAAGTGTTCTTGTGATGAACGTGAATTATAATCCGGTCTATTCATCTTTCTTTGTAATCTTTTAATCCCGAGTTTTTATTTTTTTAAGTCCCTGGAGGTGAGGGCACAAAAAGCCCTAGATTGTCCTTGCATAGCTGATCTGCGAAGTGGCCCTTGCGGGTTGCAGTTTACCTATGCATTTCTTTGTTTCATGAAGAGCACTGCAGAAGAAAAGGTAATACATCTCAAGTCTTTGTGATCTTACTTTACATTTTATTCAGATGAGATCATTGGGGGTGGCGTCTCTGTTAAGGATGCATTTTGTACTCTCCTTGCATCTTTTATTTGCGCGTGCGCTTTATAGATGTATATGCATGTTTGTGTGTCTGTCAGTCTGTGTACATGTGATTGTCAATACGAGTTTGTTCTTGCAGGGTTCGAACTGTGTGCACCCATTTATAGCCTTGCAGAACTGCATCTCATTGAATCCTGATGCATTTTCCAAATATGATTTGGAATCTGATGTTGAAGAAGAAAAGGATGATGATAAACAAGAATACAAGATCAAGGCCCCCTTACATACTAAACCGCCTAAGGCTCCAAAGCCCTCCTTATAAGTATTCTATTTGAATGTTTACATTGTTCCTTTCTTTGAGATCGTTTTTTGTTAGATTCCTTGAAATTTTCTGAGTCACTTGCAGTGTCATTTTAGAATTTAATAGGTTAATAATTGATGCAATTGATGGTTGTACTTTTTTGATAAGAGTAATTGAGGAATTGTACTTGTTAGAAAAATCATGGAAGACCTTGTTGAAGTGGAAGGGTATCTGAAACATGAGTTTAGGCAATGGTTCTATTGCCATTCATTCTAGTTCTTGACATATCATAATGTTTTTAGAGTTCCAAAATCATGGATTGGAGGCAAAATTCAATTTGCTGTGATTCAAGATGCTCCAAAGTCCCAAGTCCGAGAATCAAGAGGGACACATCAGTCAGGCTACTCGGAAAGTACTTTTCCTTGGATGAATATTCTAATTCTCAACCTGATTCTTTTCCATATGAAATTTTAGCCAAGTTTGTACTTTTTTGTTCTGTATACTTTAGCAAAATCTATGTGAAAACTAAAGGCCAAATATCTCCCTCCCTAAGCACACCATGTAAATGTGATTTGTTTGGTGCTATTTCAGCTGGTTAAAGTGAGGTTTGAATTTCTTTCAATTTAGTAAATAATTCTTGGGAAAGCATCAACATGGGCTTTCTATGGGCAAAAACGCACTCAGCCACCTAAACTCCGAACAAATTTGATTAAGGTATCAGTATACTTCAAACACGTCACATTGCAAATGTAAAATTGGATGATTGAGCTGTGTTATATCTTTGCACAAAATCTGTGAAAAATTTGATTGCAATTTGAGTGCGGTCAATGCTCAATTTTACATTTGATGCTGGGGGCCCATTTTACATTTGATAGTTAGGGGCCATTGTAATCTTTTTGTACCTAATGTATATTTTTCATTTGCGTAGCTAAAGTAGAAAAAATGTTTCCTGTTTTTGGTAGAAATGAAATTCAAGACATGCCATTGTAGCGCCCCACCACCCCTTCCACCTAGGTTTTAATATTGAAAAAGCTACTTATTTATATTCACTGTAGCAATTTTGTCAATTATGACCAGCGTTAAACGAGATTTCAAGCAAAGAAAAGTAATTTGGGACGCTAAATAGATCTAGTGGCTTACTGAGGGCATTTTAACACTCGTGGAGCAATCCCTTCAAGTGTGCTGAAGTTTATAAATAAATGTATTAGTGGTCCATTCAAACTGGTCGTAAGAGAATCATCAATCCAAAGAATCAGGCAAGGCCGCCTATCCGGCCAAGCTAGGTTCGATTTTAAGTAGTATTAGGCCGGTAGGCTGGGCTAGGACAGGGCTTGGCTCAAAAAGATTGAGCCTAGACCTGCCTACAAAAGTTCAGGCTGAACCTAGCTTGGCTAGAATTTGCCCTATTGATAGCCCTCCATATGTAGAGCTACCCATTAGACTTGGTTGACAACTCTGTGAGAAAATCGCGCTTCGTTCGGGCCCAGGCTCGTTTTAAAACTTGGGCTTTGCCTAGGCCCAAGCCTAACTGCAAGATTCACGGTTATGGAATTGCAGCTTGATCTAGCCCTGCCTAGTGGCCGCGGACATTTAAGGCAAAAGCAAAATTGAAATTAAGGGAAGCATTATTAGGATCAAACCGACTGTCGATCCAATGAGGGGTTTTGATTTGATCAAACGGTTGTATTGGATTTTAGAAAAAGCTTGTTGAACTGATTAAAACTGAGTAATTTAATTGATAAAAAATCGGCCAAATATTAATTTTGATTAATTTTTAATTAAATTTTAATTAAATTTTATTTTATTTTGGAAAAAATTTATATAAGTATGCAACTTTATAATATAAAACTACATATGCACCTAAAAAATCCATCAGAAAAGGTAGTTTTAATGTTGAAAAACTTTTTGATTGATCATCTCGACTTCGAGATGTATGACCATAAAAAATAAAAAGATTTTAAATATCAGAAATAATATATTTTACAACATATTATCTAAACCGTCTATTTTCAAGATTTTCATAAGTTTAACCATTTTTGAAATTTAAAATTTTATAATTTTACCCTTGATAAAATTCGAAGGAGCACCTTACCTCTACAGCAACTGCACCCTTATTTTAAACCCACCAATTAGCTGTCCCAGCGGTGAGGACTACCGTTTCCATCGGAATAATTATACCCAAGGGTATTTCCGTCACTTAGTACGACGACCTTTTCCATGTAACGCGAGTTAGTCACTACTGCGTCCGTGTGTCGAGCTTCGTCTGGAAAAAAAAGCCAGAGGAAATGGCAAAAATCCGACGAAAGCCCTCCATTTAATCTTAAATTTTCAATCAATTGAGGCCATGGCGTCTTCTGCTTCCTCTTCTCTGAGGCTCCATTCATGGGGAACCCTAAACCCTAGTGCCCTTCCAAAGGGTATTCCTCTTCTCTCTCCATCTCCCATTTCTCTGTTCAGCTCACCCCAAAAAAGGGCACCTCTTCCTGTTCTCAGGGCACAGAGAAAAGGGGAGCAAGGCCCTGTTGAAACCAGTGAGAAAAAAGAAGCAAAATCTGCCAAAGAAGTGGAAGAAGAGGAGGAGGAAGTGGAGGAGGAAGTGCCATGGATTGAGGAGAAGGCAGCTGACCTTGTTGAGTTCACAGGGACTGTGACTCAGGCCATACCTGGTCCAAGAGTGGGGCAGAGTTCTCTGCCATGGCTATTGGCAGTGCCTTTGGCTTATGTTGGCCTCTCCTTTGTTGTTGCAGTTTTCAAGACACTGAGGAAGCTCAATTCCCCAAAGGCCAAGCGTCGAAGATTGGTAATTTCCTCCGCACTTTGTAGATGGTGCAACAATAACAATCTCTCTCTCTTAATGCGTAGAAATTGTTGGTTGAGTAACTTAGGATATTTTGGACATGGGAATTCTTACTTTATCATACCCTAACCATTGAGCCAAGAGGTGGGTCTGGGTGATTTTATTTTGGATAAAATTCTAAGCTGAGATTCTCTTCTTATTTGTTGTGAAAGGGTCTGGACCATTAGTGCAAGTGTTTGGATTGATTGCATTGTTTCATAACAAGCAAAAAAAGCCTTTTGTTGTGTTTCTTTGAAGTTCTTTACTAATGGCGAATTCGGCTGAACTTATGAGCGATAGCTAAGTTGAAGTAATGCGCTTTTCTTTATTCATATATTGTTTTCTCTTTGAAAATTTCTGGTTGAAAGGTGAACAAGAATGCCATGCTCTGCAAATCCATAGATGATGTCCTACAGATGGGAAGGGATGAATTGCAACATTCCACACTCGAGGGGCTTATGCAGAAGGTACTCCTTCGAAGATTTCTCTTTTCATATGCACTCCTTTAATGATTCAATTTGCAAAGAACAACTATATGAATTCACACATTCCGGTGTTTTGGTTACCGTTCTTGCTAATTGTCATAAGCAAGTGAAGTTAAGTTTGCATGCGTGTTATTAACAATGAATATAAAATGGCTTTCGTGATATGAAGCCAAATTGCAGTTAGAAACACATATGTCGGTTGAAATTGTGATCCCAATAAATAGACTTGTCACCCATATATAGGAACGGCTGGCCTTTCAATTGTAAATTTGTAGTAAGTGCTCAGAAGTGCTTGTCATTTCTTGTAACTGATTTGTGTTAGGGAGCTTAAATATAGATCATTTGGCAGTTCATATTTCTTGAAGATATTAGTTGTTGGTCTCTAATCTAGCATATCTGGTTATTTCCTATATTCTTATTAGATTTTTTATGGGTTTGCTGTGTCAAAAAAGAAGAAGTTCTCTTTCCCTTAGTTTTACTTTCTGGTTGTATCGGCAGAGGATAAGTGAAAATGCAACGCAATGCACATGTTCTACCTTTCTTTCTTTTTTCAGGGTAACACCCAGAATTTGTTGTCTTTAGGATGATGCATGCTAGGTTGTGAATATGTCTCTTCCAGCTACAGTAGATTAAAATGGTGAGAATTTCTCTTGCTAAACTGGGATCACTTATGCAGGAGAAAACACAACTCATGCAAATTATCAAATGATTTCTGTTTCTTCTATGTCTATGTCATATAGTAAATTTGATAGCTTTGATTGACATTATTATGTGCATGGGTTTTAAAGTTCTGGTGATATTAGTTTTGAGCGCATTATTTCAAAGAGATTTCATATTCAGACAGGTTTTGGCATGGAGGAGATTTTACGGAAATATATACGATATGCACTAAATGAAAAGCCTTTCAATCCCGATGTGGTAATGGACCTTATCCACATTAGAAAAGTTACAATGCTTGATGATGCTCAAGTTGCTGAAGTTTTAAATGAGATATCAAGGCGAATTGTGCAGGAGAAAGGTTGTTCAACTCCTTCCCTAATTACATTTTTCTTGGTGTGTTCATTACAATTCCTATTGACTTGTTTTATGAGATTCATCAATCGAGACCAAATTCTAATATCTGATGGCCAATTCTAATAATCCAAAATAGTTTCTCAGTGGTTAATGTTCACTGAATTAAATAATAAATTCATCCTCTATTGCAACTTAAGGGCCCTTAGGGCCTTAATACTTCACAAAGGTAACTTAGTGTTGTCCATATGGTTAAGTGTGATGACCTGGTTAAAAAAGTATAGACTATTTAGTAGTGTTACACTAAGTTTTAAATCTAGGATTTGTTGAATGTTTGCTTCCTGTAATTTGTTGTATGAAAACTCGTATTAAAGGAAATACTTGCTTGTCCAAGTTAGCATGGTCTAAATATTGTCATATGCAAACTCAGCATGTTGTGCAGTTCCAAAAAAAAACAAAACTTAGCATGTTGCGAGTTCTTTTTTTTTCTTCTAATTATGTGAAAAGATATCGAGACATAAAATTGATAAGAAAATGAAGGATTACATAAATAAAGGATATCCACTCAGTCACATGGTTTCATGCCTATGTGAAATATACTGCATCTGAATACTCTCCATACAGCCTAAATGTCCTAATAAAGTGTAGTGATGCATTAAGCTGATCTTCTCTGTTTACTCGTTACTCGATGTTTCTCAAAAGTAATGGTTAGGAAAATGGTTAGAACTTCTTTTATACTGCTCCATTCTGTTGTTTTGTGCACTAATAGATCTCATATCCCATTCTTCTTGATGCATTCAATAACTTTTTAGTATATGATTTCAGTTTAACTGAATGGTATCATTGCAAAAGTCATATGATAAAATCAAGTATCAATGTCACTTTTGGAAGGACCTCAATATTGAAACTTATTTTAGCCTTGATTGTTTTAGCCAGACAAAAAAGAATGGGAGCAGCCTTTTTTAATTTCTGCTGACTATTATCCTATTTCAGGCCCGGTTGTGATGGACACTTCGGGATTTACAGAGAAGGGCTTCAGGAGGAAGCTTGCAGTGCAGGCCCTATTTGGGAAACTCTTCTATCTCTCCGAGGTAAAGTTGTCAACTTTGAAACGATTGTATATACCAACTCCCAAACAATTGTAGATGCCTTCAAGCTTGTCGCACTAAATGTCAATTTTCTAATGGCCCTATTTGATGCTGGTTTAAGGAGATATCAGCTGCCCTTAGGGCAATAAGGTTATGGTATTTTACTCCGTTGTTGATCTTAAGAAATCTTGATAACAATGGTACGAACAGATCTATCTATTGAAATGCCCCCTCGCATGTGTGTGTCTCTGTGTCTGTGTGTGCCAAAATCATTATAAATTTCGAAACTTGGAAGAGATTCTGTTCCTAACCATGACTCCAAAGGGAGGCACTTAACATTGCAACCTCAAGGTTGTGGGTTTGACCCACCTAAACCCCTCCAATAAGAAGTTCATATAAATTAAAACACATAAAATTAAAGGTCAAGCAGTCTTTTGTTCATGAATTGAAAGAAAGTTGTGTTGGCCAATTTTGTACTGATAATTTTCACTCTTCATAAAATAGCTCCAGGAATTCTGCTCCAGGGAGGGCTCGTTGATATTGAAAGAAATATTTGGGGTTACAGAGTAATGCTCTTTACTTGTTCAATTGGTGAATCTTTTTGCTGAGTTGCAGTAGTACTCTTGTATTTTTCTGGGACCCTATTATGATTTTTTTATTTTTGCAACTCAGTGAAGACGCTGACATCGTTCGAATTCACACACTTTCTGATAGTGGGGATTTTGATTCACTTCAAAAGATGGCAGGTCTATCTGATTCAGAAGATGACTCCTCTTCAAGCCCTAAAGATGACTCCTCTTCGAGCCCTGACAGTTGAACATTTAAAGCCAAGATATAATTAAGCATTCAGAGTTTAGCATAGGAAAATCCGGCCGTTGAAGTGCCCCCCCCCAATTTTGAATAATTGGCATTGAGTTTGGGGGTGTTTTTAATTTATTTTTTTAAATGAATTTTTGGGGAGTTCATAGCAACTCAGAGAAAAATGGTGACTGGAACCTAAAAATCATGGAAATGCCGTTCTGAAGGATTTGAGGGTGGGCAGGTTTTTATTGTTTTGTTTTTGGCCCTTTTATTTGATGAGTTTCATGTTGTTATGCTGTATGTTTTAGGAAATTTCAACTGCAGAAAATGAAAATGGATTGGTTTTGGAGCGGCTGTTCTCGTAATTCCCTGTTCTTTTGGATAAATTTTGGAGCAATGCCATCAATCAGCTTTATTTTGGACTTAATCCATCTACCACAGAACATCTGGTTTTGGATGAAAATAAAGTCAGTTGACATGTTCTAGTAGTAGAGACTTAGCAAGATTAACAATGCTTTTCTTCAGCCGATTATCAAGAGAGAGTGAACCATGCTTTTCTTTTTCTCATAATAGTATAAAAAATGTTCTGCTCAACTGCTCCACATATTACATCACCCAGAGTATTTAACGTGATGCATAAAACTTTCAGAATAAAGGCCATTCTTTTTGGGAAGTGGAATCCCATATATGGTACAATCAATGGTTATAGGAAGTCGAATGATATGCCCCTGGTCCTCTTTACTTCCATATGTAATTACAGGGTGTTGAAGAGAACCATAAACTGATAGCATTTCACCTTTGCATCAACCATCTTCAGCTTGCTTTCTGGGCTGGAAATTGACCATATAGATGGCGACAACAGTCACAAGAGCTCCAACCAGTTGCAGAGGTGTGAATCTCTCATCCAGGTAAAGATAGCTGTAGTTCAAAACAGATTTCACAATTAATTCTAGGTTTCGCTGAGGCCAATCGCCCGTGTGAAATCTACACAATCAATCAAAATGAATTAAAAAATAAAACATCCATATAGCTGTGCCAAAATCTTGTGTCGTGGGAGGCAAGGCACACAGGGGATAGG